CCCAAGGAAGATATAACAGAGCTGGAGAAGATCCAGGGAAAAACAACTAAGATGATCAAGGGGAATGCTTATCTTTCATTCAAGGGCAGACTGAAAACCTAAAAAGGATTAGACTCTCAGAGTGGGAAGATGAAAATGAAAAGGAGGTAGTGAGGGGATGTGAGATTAAAGTTGACTCTGGGTAAATAGAATTGTATTCAGTGAATTTCATAGCACTTAATTGGGGCCGCCCCTTGAGGTTAAGGAATGTAGATTAAAGAGAAACTGAAGTACATCTTTATTTATTTATAGAGAAATCAGTAAGTTTATAGAACTTCTTATTTCTAAGACAGGACTGAAGGGGAGAATGGGAAAAGTTTAAGAAACCACTGGATATACTCAATGCCAACAGATTGCACAGTGCATTGTAAGAAATGGTCATGATGCATCCTGATATTTTTTAAATGAAAATTACTAGGTTAATCGACAACACATCTATTGTTGTTTGCATGTGGGTCAGACTTCTGGGCTAGTCGCCCTGTGGGTCTGACCCAGTGTGCGATTTCTTATGCTCTTATTATGTCATCTATACAAAAACATGTTGCATGCAAGTTTGGGACTCCTAAATTCTTCTGACAGTCCAGAAAACAGAAAAATAATTTTCTAACTCATTAAGAAAGCAAGAGAGAGTCCCAGCTCTTGGCTCCGCATGGTTTACCCATATGGGAGTGTGCAACATAAAAAGGTGAAAGAAATTCTAACAGAATGCAGCAGCTGGTTAAAGGCTATTATATCGAAATTTTCATGAGTTTGACAGTTGGCCAAAAAACTACAAAATGGCAGAAAGTGGAAAAGGCAGTTGTAACAGGTTGAACATTGTTGGTGATTATTTTTTGCAGTGGCAATGAAAGCTGTAATCAAATAACCTGAAAGAGGCTGGCAGGAATAGAAGAACCCCAAGGGGAAGGGAAAATGAAGACTGTAACAATGATGTACACTGTGGACTAATAAACTAGACAAACATGTAGTTTGAAGTTTCAAAATCAAGGTTCTTAGCATCATATGAAAAGCCAGTGTTAGGATGCAGGCATAAACACTAGTTGATTGGCTATCTAAAGCAGAAGATGTTGTTGCAAACTCAAGGATAGGTGACTGATTCAGTAACTAACTGGAACTGTGCTACTGGTATAGAAACTTCTTGTTATGTGGATGATCAGTTTATTTCAGCATTGAAAAGGAACTATTAAATAGCATTAAAAAATATCCAGGAAAAAACACTTGTTTCTGCAGCTGGATATATGTGGTTAAAAACTCTTGCATGGAAGTCAGGACAAATATGAGGATAAATAGGAGCTGGTTGAAATGATATCATTACAAATACTATCATTATTGTTATTTGTGGATCAATGAGGTATCTCATGGGAAATAGATGAGGAAACAGTGGAAACAGTGTCAGACTTTTTTGGGGAGGGGGGCTCCAAAATCACTGCAGATGGTGATTGCAGCCATGAAATTAAAAGACGCTTACTCCTTGGAAGGAAAGTTACGACCAACCTAGACAGCATATTAAAAAGCAGAGACATTACTTTGCCAACAAAGGTCCATCTAGTCAAGGCTATGGTTTTTCCAGTGGTCATGTGTGGATGTGAGAGTTGGATTGTGAAGAAAGCTGAGCACTGAAGAATTGATGCTTTTGAACTGTGGTGTTGGAGAAGACTCTTGAGAGTCCCTTGGACTGCAAGGAGATCCAACCAGTCCATCCTTAAGGAGATAAGTCCTGGGTGTTCATTGGAAGGACTGATGCTGAAGCTGAAACTCCAATACTTTGGTCACCTGATGCGAAGAACTGACTCATTGGAAAAGACCCTGATGTTGGGAGGGATTGGCGGCAGGAAGAGAAGGGGACAACAGAGGATGAGATGGCTGGATGGCATCACCAACTCGATGGACATGAGTTTGAGTAAACTCCGGGAGTTGGTGATGGACAGGGAGGCCTGGCGTGCTGCGATTCATGGGGTCGCAAAGAGTCGGACACGAATGAGCGACTGAACTGAACTGACTGAAGGTATCTCAAACTATGAATGGCATCTGCCAGGGCATTAGGTCCATTGGATCTTGTACAAAGTCATTTGGTATAAACAGAATATTTTAGAGAGTAGTAATGTGCAATAATAAATCACAAAGGTTATCAATAATCTGTTTATGGACAATGTTCTGAACATGTGTTCTCCCTGTGTTATGGCTTAACATTTTAAGAGTATATTTGAGAAATTGCACAATCTCTAATTTCAAGGAGATTATAATTGTACAGAGAATTGTCCTCCCAGTTAGGTTGCCTCTGAGATTCGAAAACTTCCCCCAGACCCGCCCGTGAGAGGGTTTCCTGGTGTTTGGAAACTTCCTCTATTACAACTCCCTTCCCGGGACGGATCTCTGTCCCTAACTCTCTTGTCTCTCTTTTTATCTTTTATATTTTGTCCTACCTCCTTTTGAAGACAAAGGGCTGCTTTTCTGGGTGTCTGATGTCCTCTGCTAGCAATCACAAGTTGTTTTGTGGAGTTTGCTCAGCGTTCAAATGTTCTTTCGATGAATTTGTGGGGGAGAAAGTGGTCTCCCCATCCTATTCCTCTGCCATCTTAGTTGTCTTGTACAGAGAATTGATCTCTGTAAAGTTTCAGGGACATCTTTGAGAAATTAGGTAATTCTTCATTCCAAGGGACTGATCACTTCAGAGGCTTTTAAGGTCTCCATACTCACCTCTCTGCTCATTTTCCTGTCTATTGTTCTATATTTCTTACCATTAAACTAGGAAGAATAATAGTTCTAAATTAAACACCAAGACCAAAGCTCCTTAGGTACCTGGAGAAACTGGAGTGGACTGAGAGGGCATATGTGAAGCTAATTCACAGTGGAAAAATAGAATTTAAACTTCTTGAAAAAGAAGGCTGAGTTCTTAAAGGTTTTGAATTTGGACAAGACCATGGAATCAGTCACATGCTTTGATTCCTAGAGTTACAAAGGATGCTTGATGTCATCTAGTCCAACTCTTCATTTGAGAAATGAAAAACCAAGCTTTGTGCAGGTGAAGTGACTTGCCCTAGGCCATACAATCAACTAATCACAGAGTCAGGACCAGAAGTCAAGTTTTCTTATTCCCAGATCTGTGCCCCTCCCCAAATCACCACCATAATCTTCAAGTTGGTGAAGGAGCTCTGGACAAACAGGAAGAAAAACAGAGAGTGGCTGTCCTCTGATCCTATTGAGGAGCAGTAAGAGTCTAAGATACAGGGAGGAATTACAGCTTTTCTGGAATTCATTTTCTTTTCATTTTTTTGGACCGAATTCATTTCCACTGCTTCACAGCACTGTGCTGGGATCTTTCAAAGGAGATATAATATCAGAGAGAAGATACATATTTAGGGAAAGGACAGTGGGATGAGGGGGGTACTCTAGGAATCCCACGAGACACTTAATGAACCCCAAACAGGTAACAATTTGGAGAATGACAGCTTAAAGATGTCTCAGACTCTCAGGTGATCCTAACATCTGGGCCACAAAAGGAGTTTTTATTTTAGCTCATAAAGGAATTGGATAAAGTGAGAGTTTTAGAAATGGATTGAAAGAGGAGCAGGTCTTAGTCAGAAATGGAAATTTGTGATGATGAAGACACTGATGTAGAAGAAGACTGGGAAGAATTTGAATAAAATGGCTCCACAAAATATACAGTACATGTAAAGTAATACAGTTCATGTCTAAAACTCAGTACATTATTTAAGAGAATGGATTATTTTAAATAGGTATTAAACCATGTACTTTAGAGTGACTAAATAATTATACACAACAAAAATAATAAAATCAAATTTGAAACTGGAAAATTAAAAAGTAGGATCAAAATACACTGAAGTAGAATTTTTAAAGTGAGAGAAACCCTGTCTGGAAAAATTTAGTAAGACCACCTTTCCTAAAGGATATAGTTCTCCTTGAGGAGCCAAAAACATCCCTTCAATCCCATTCTTCTGAGTTAACAAAATTGAGGCATGAAATCCAATTTCTTGGGAACTGTGGTAATGAAGATCTAGGACTGCCCTTATTGCTTGAGAACTGAATTATGAAGGATTGATGGGCGGTGGAAGAATAAAAACAGACTCGATAAAAGATGGCAGGCTGAAAAGATGGAAAAACATTTCATATTTGTAGTCAGACTGATAGTGGAAGCAAGTTCAAAGTCTTAAGTTGGTATTGCAGACTATTTCATGAATCTGATTTATTTAAATTGTTGTTGAGGTGGCTGACTGAAACTTAAATTTAAGCTGGACTCAATTACACAATTGATGAGTAACTGTTAAGGTACCATAATAACTCAATACTCTCTCTCCTCTCTCTTTCCTGGCAACCCAATGTATCATAATTTGTATTTCATACAGAATCTTGCAGAAGGTGCTTCTAAGAACCTGTATGCCTTTGACTGACATAAATAGCCCCCGAAAACAATATCATTTTTGTTGTTGTTATGTGAAAAATGCCGAGTGCTATGTGTTGAGAATTAACACCTCAGCTCCACAAATCCAGAACTGTGACTGCCTGCCTTTGGGTACATCAAGTATTTATTCACCTAAAACAGTCTGTGGACAGATAGTTGCAGACACCTTCCATCTTTGTCTAAAGAAGAAATGTGGGAAAACCCCTGAATAAATAAAATTGTTCTTGTAAGTATTCACTGCTACTTTCCATCATATTATAGGCAGTTTCTATTCTATTGCGTGAAATCCACACCACCTCCAATCACAAACCATAACATGTATGCTGCATTAACTGGACTTTTCCAAAAGGTACCTCCCTGTGGCATCAGCAAGTTTTCAGTGGTCCTTGTAGCATGAGTTACTTATCCAAGCTTCCTTGGGGAAGAAAGAACTAGGTATTGTAGGCCAGGCTAACGTCGAGTTTTAAAAATAAATTCATCTGTGAATATACATATTAGCCAAAATACATGCCTCTTTAAGAACTTGATGTTTTCGACTTACTTGATATAGTAGGGCACTTTGTTTGGTGAGATGGCTCTCTCCCAGGGACCCTGGACAGAAGCTAAAAAGGGGGGGGGGGGAAGAAAGGCAAAGAGGTCAAGTTCACAGCAAACAAGAAAGACAGCATTAATCTCCAGAATTACAATTTTACACTGATATTGGTCTGTTTGTTCAGTTGCCCATGAAGACAGGACGGATTAACGTGCTGTTCTGAAGTTTCTGTCCTGATATAAGTGAAATTGAACTCATTCAGGCACAAAGATAAATGCAAAGGTAAAAAAAACACACAAAAAAACGTTCCACTGCTATACCTATAGAGCAGATAAGAAACTGAATGTGTACAGGTTTTCTCTTATGTGTCTCCATTGGGTGCTGTTCTTATAACACTTGCTGTTGCTGTTTTGCAGTATCTTTTACTGTTTGATTGACTGCGTTTTATTAGTTTAGCAGCTGAAACATCGCTCTATGATATATTTATATTCTAAGTTATTGACACTAAAGTACTCCACTTATCACTCTGATATGCTAGTTTTCCTCTTTATTTGGTTTGAACAGAATTCAATTTCATTTACTGATGACATGTTTTAATTGGTGCCTCAAAAATGTCAGATGACCAGCATGATCTGATTAGAAAAGATAACCCCAAGTGAGAGAATGGCACCCGATACTAGAGTGTAATAAAACTTTGGTGATGAGTGATGGATCCTACAGGTGAAATTAAATTTCACATACTGGGAATTCGTTTCATAAAAACTTGATTGTATATCACTCAAATAAATCACTTTTAAATTGTTTTAAATGCTTAACTTGTAGTGCTGTATTTTTTCTTTTCCAAAGTTGAACAACCTTTTATGTGCGGTTTAATATGATGGGGTTTTTTGGCTTCTTTAAGAGAAAATGATCATATTAGGAGATATTATACCATTTCCTTAATAATAAAATCTTCCTCCTGAACAGAGTTTTAAGAAACTCCAGTTTTGATACATAGAGTTGCATCAAGCATTTAAATATAAGAAGCATTCTTATTAACAAACAGTAATTTTATGTGTATGTCCTGAATTTTCATCCTGCTTCTAAGTTGAAGCACAGCTGATGTTGACCATTACTTCCTCCTATGAAAATCTCCCTTCTAAATTAGTCTCACAGTAAATTCAGTCCACAGTGTATTGAGATGTAAGAAAATGTCAAAGCTAATATATCCTTGACTACACTGCATAATATGAAAGAACAGCTTCTAATAAAACTTTTCCCACTGCCAGACAATTTAAGGGTAATGAAACTATAGATTCTTTGTTTTACATAGAGTGATAGAGGGCTCAAATCACCCAGCCTTCAACCAGACATGCTGCTTTGTACCTTGGCGATATGTCATTTAACAGATATAAGACATGAATCTGTATTTAGCTGCTAATTATGCCCTTTCATTTTGGTGGACAGATTTTTAATATGGAGGAAAAAGACATTTACCTGTTGTTTGGAAGTAGTCCCTGCCTTCAAACTCTCCCTTTCTTTTTCTATTGTTCTCTCCTTCACCTTTATCATTATCTGCTCAACTCTCCTCTTGTCCATTATTCTTCTCTAGGACACAATTTTCTTGACCAGATTAGTACAGAGAGTAATAAGACCTGATCTGAGGACTTAGGCTGAATTCCCTGAGCTGACTGGGCAGTCTGCTGTTATGGGAACTTAAAAACCCAAGCCTTCTCTAGCATGAAACATGGTGGAGAGCCAGAGATCATGGCTCCTGGCTGCTCGGGGTGCCTACTTCTTAAAACCATAGCATAAAATCAGAAGGTAGAAGAGAACTCCAGGGAGCACTTGGTCCAGTTTGCGTTGGCTGTATCGCCAAGGCTATGGATGGCTAAGCAGAGAAGGAATGGTTCTTCTTTCCATAGAGATTGCTATGGGCCGAGCTGCACCATTTGTCTGATCATCCTTCTCCAGTTCCCTATTATTCTGCTGTTCAGTCGCTCAGCCGTGTCCAATTCTTTGCGACCCCATAACTGTAGCACGTCAAGCTTCCCTGTCCTTCACCATCTCCTAGAGCTTGGTCAAACTCATGTTCATCGAGTTGGTGATGCCATCTAACCATCTCATCCAGAAAGTTTGATCTGGAGGCTGCTGAGAATGTCCTCTGATAGCAGAAGAGTCTGTTCTACTGGCTGCTGGGTGGGGTGCTGGCTGGGTAGGGGTGCTCTGCCTGAATGCAACAACCTTCAAGCAGAAAATCTAGCAGGAAACAGAGGAAAAGTGGAATGCCTGCTGAGCGAATGGCCAGACCCACACCAGGCATCTATAGTGGACTTTGTACAGTTAAACATTAAAAAGAAAAAAAAATTCCCCAGAAAATGCCAGAGTAGTAGTTAAGAATATGCTTGAACTAAAAAGCTGAATGGATATAATTTTTAAAAAAGTTCTACAAAAAGGTAAGTTCCAGATCAATATGAAATTTTAAGCTCTTGTAATTGGAGTTTTTATTAATTTTTATAGAGAGTATAGAAATTGTATATGAAAATGGTGAATTTTTTTACCTTCTAAAATAAAAGCTCATTGCCTTTCTGTGTAGCTATTAAACAGATCTGATGGTGAGATTCAGTGAAGCTTTTGTGCTGAAAGATGTTTTTCCCTCTTTGACTCACAATTCATAAATGCACCTAAGCAACTGCTTTGCAGTCATCATTTGAAAGTCGGAAATTTTATACCAAAAAATGTCCTTGATGCAATAAAAAAGAAAAATAACAGCCTTCCTCCATCTTGCCCCTGCCCTCTATCCCTACCACACACACACACATGGCAACTACTTGTTTTAGAAATAACACACAATCGGACATCGGTTCTATGTGATTGGAATCATTACTCCTCCTCAGGAGACTGCTAAAAGGTTGCTGAGCAAAAGCTCAGGGCTGCCGGATTCTGGTCTTGCATATATTCCAAAGTTGGTCAAATACATGGTAACTCTTGTAAGTGTGTTTCATAATTATCATTTCACTTCTCGCAGGAATGCCAATGCCAGCAACAGCTGTTTCTTATCTCAGGGTACCAGTGGAAGCTTGTCATCCCTCACAAAGCTAGCCTACATGATAGGCAGACACATCTCTTATGCCTAACGTGTCCATTTTTACTAGCCCATCACATGCAGATTTACTGGCAAATAGTTTTTAATGACGCTCTGCTGTCCTTTGGTATTTTCTTATACAGATGTTTCTATAACTGCTACATGTAATTCCGATGCAGCTTTGTGATTCAGATTCTCAAGGGTAAAAACCATCCATTATCATATGGCAGCAGCACCGCGGGGTATTGTCTACTGAATTTAAATAGCAAACTACACATGAGTTTATTTATTCCAAAACCAACCTCTGCATTTCCCCTTGGTTACAGAAGCAGTATGATATCAACAGCAAGAAAGGGTAACAGTTCTACTTTCAAATCTCTGTCCTCCCTCGAGGTGACAGGATTCAATATCGTGCCCGAGGTGTTTTTGTAAATCACCTACACAGGGCCCACTGTTTCAGGGAAGTTCTCATTTCTACCATTTTCTAATGCATGATGAACAGAATGGGCCAAGGGGAAGCACCCTGGTGTTAAGCCATGTTTTAATCAACACAGGGACCCAACCAGAAAATTAGAAAGAAAGCTAGTATTATTTAACCTGTGCCAAAAGTGCACTCGCTGGAATTCAGACCCTCCTACGTTCAGTAATCTTTCTACCTTTCTTATATTTGGTGGTTTTGGAGTTTAACAACATAACTTGGGTCAAAAGAAAGTGGGGACAGTTTATAAAAATAAATAAAACCCACCAATTCACTGGGGACAAAAGAGAAACCTCACCTGTGGGGGTTATGAAAAAGGCATTGGGGAAGATAGGTCAGCTCAGAAGCATGCAGATTCCAAGAATGGTTTTTATGGACTCAGTCTATCAAGATCGACACTAGAGCAACATTTCTCAACCTTTCCCCACTCTCTTCCCCAATTCCGGGTATCTTTTCTTTCTTTTCAAGAAGATCAACACAGAAAACATCTTTATTTCTCTTTACTGAACTTCCATGTACTAAAGTCTATTTTTTCAGTCTATTTTTTGCTCCTAATCACCTTATGCCACAGATACACTATATCTGTATCAGTTTCTGCATTTTTGTATGTATCTGTGCTTCACATATAAAAAGAATGAGTTTTACATCTCCCCAAAACCAATTTTTGCCCTCTTGGGGGCAATATCACTTTGTTGAAAATTCTTGATCTAGAGAAAGTGATGGGAGGGGTTGGGGGGGAAAGGAAAACCCCTCTCTGTACCTGAAATGTGACTTCAAATAGCTCATTTTGATATAGTCAAAGTGACTTGTGAGGTGGGTATTATTATTTTTATTTTGCAGATGATCAAACAGTTAAGATCACATGGGAAGATATGTCTAAGGTCATAAATCAGTAATTATTAGATGGTAATTTTGGTTTTTTTTATAATTTTGGTTTATTACTCAGAGTTAAAGTCAGGTGATTCAGGAAGTGGAGAAAACACGGCTATCACATGTCTACTCTGTACCACGCATTGTGCTTCTTAATGTGATCCTTCCAAATGCCCACCATGGTCATGCTATTCCATTGTTACACATAAAGCAACCCAAGCTCAGAAACAGTCAGTAAACTAACTCAACTAGTAAAGGGTCACACAGCTAGTAACACGTGTACCCCAGATTGCCACCAGGTCTCTTCTTTGGTAACAGCATTTGTAACTGTTGGGTGCAGCAGTGTTCCCAAGGTCCTGAGAATGTTAGCTGAGGGTATTCAGGTGAGGCTCCTGGGAAAGTTCTTTCAAAGACTGACTGAACTGAAAGGCAGCTTTGCCCTTTTCCCATCTGCCTTCTTCCTGCCTTGGATGTGATGATGTTCGGAGCTATAGTAACCAGGAGAACAGAAGCCGTCTTGGTTGCAGCTCCCCAGAAACAGACAGGCACAAGGGTCTGAGTGAAAGGAGTTAGAGACCTGATGGAGGGAGGCACTGGGAGAAGAGCCGGAAGTGGGTCAGGAAAGGGAAGCAAGCTGATCAAGGATGCTTTGCTGCTT